TTCCTGCTTAAGTTATTGAACAATCATGTTTTAACATTTGACAGACAAACTGGTGGTAAGCTAAATCATAGCCATCATTGACTTGTAGTTCTGCCATTTTTTGAGTGTGTTGCATCCCGTGTGGTCTCTCTCAACCAGTACAGTTCTGTGATTTGGGAGGGGGTTATTGCAATACACTAGCTCAATAATTTCAAGCAAAAAGAAAAAATTAGAAACTGGTAGTTATATACTAGCTCAGTGTGTACATAAGTTGCACTTCAAGAAGAGTAACTTAGAAACATTTTTCTTTTTGGTAATGATCAAGATTTTGCTGAAAGCAATTCTTTTTTTCTAATCACCGGTTCTCTTGTTCTCTTAATTCTCTTAAGCACAAAGCTAGAACCTAGTAGTGCTATCTGGTTGGTAACAACTTGACTATTTAAGCAAGGTATTCAATTTCCAAATAATATATTTTTTAAAGATATTTATTGAACTATACTGAGCACATTTTAAATTGACTTTATTATTCTCTCCATAAGGCTTAATTAAAAACTACTTCCACAACCAGAAATATTTACATTATCTGAAGGTAAATTAAAATTTGATTGGCAGCCAGTCTTGCAGAAGAATGTTTGTAAAATGAACAGTTGTGATGCTAACTATAAATTAGTTGGATAGAGCTTTAGATTCCAAATAACTGTTATAATTGCCCGAGTTTAAAATAGTCACACTTTTCAGATCTTACATCTGTTACATGGTTACTGGACATGAGTTTTAGATCTCTCTAAAAATTATAGAAGTATACATTAAGTTTGACTGTAGAGAACAGGATTAGGGGAATGGGAGGAGTGAGGTAAAGGGAGAAGTAGCTTTTTGTTTCCTTCCCTCTACAAAGTATCTTTTGTTTTCAGCACATTTACAAAGTTAAGCTGTCTAGGCATTGAGTTCATATTTAAATGAGTAGGTGAAATTAACGTACTTAATGACCTATTATATAATAACACTTTGAATTATTACGGTAGATTTCATAGACTCTTAGATGTTAGGGGCTAGAAGGGACTTCTCAAGCTCATCAGGTCCAGGTGTTTTTTGAAGGTATCTAGAGTAGGTGGGGAAAAAGCAACTTACTATTGGAATTAGATTCTAACTTTTCAGGTATGTGTATTAGATGTTTTTCTTGAATGTAATACATTTGAATAAATATTGGTAGTGGGGGAGAGGGAACGTTTTCTTTTTTAAGTACAGTACTCCAAATTAGATAAACCAAAATCTCTACAAAATGAACATGTTTGATAGTTGATACAACTGAGTCTACTTAATTGATACTGTATAGGTTATTCCTGCCAGTATTAACATGCTGCACTGCATTGAACATAAACATGCCATTTTTTGTTTGTGTAGAGATGTCAGAAAACAAATGTTGAAAAACCCATTGCTGTACGTGTTGAGAAATAGCCTGTGCTGCTCAGAGTAATTGCAAATCGCCAATAGCACACTTTATCGTTCATATGCCTATACATTGCTGTGGTCAAGAATTTAATGGAAAACATCATTTTCTGAGAGCACCTTTGCTGGTGTCTCTGAGGAAAATGGTTACTTGCTTTTGTTCCAGTTCACTTTTTTCCTTAATATTGTCATGAAATATTTTTCGCGTTTATAAAAGGAAACCAAATTGCTAATGCATTGCATTCCCAATAACCTTTTGGTTCACTAAACATACACCCACACCACTAAATGCAGTGTAATCAAATATTTCAAGAATTCATCCAATCCAGAATTTAAGATATTCTTTTACGGCCTCAGAAAAAAACCACTGTTAAGGAGTATTAATTTCATATTCATTTGTTTTATAAATGCACAATGTTAAGTTAGAACAAAACAAAAACATTAATAAACCTGTCCCTCACCTTAAGACACGCACAGCCCTTAACATATTATTACTTGCTTGTGCTTTTTTGCTCTTTTTCCCTTCCCACACTTCCCATTTTCTATGCACTTGTTTGGATGAAGACTGAGGCCTCTTCCTGTCCTGAATTTTCATGCCTATCCATCTATGACCTCTTATTTCTTGATGTCAAAGTCAGATTCTCTTGAGTGCCACCCATAATCTAGATCACTAAGAGCCCTATTGTGTGGTTTATACAAAATGTTGCATTGGCAGTTATAAGAAGAATAACGCAAGGTGCCTAAACACGCATCCTGATAAATACTACAGGAATCGTCACTCACTTGTCAGTAACATGCCTTATGGGAAACAATACAAAATAAAATGGGTTGCTTGGGATGGCTCATTCCAATTAGCTGTGTAAAGTGGTAGGTTGCTGGTGGTGGAAGGCTATTTATTGTAAATAAGGAACACTTGGCATTCTACAGACAAGTCTTTACATGAGAAGCAATCTGTCAGATTAATAGGAGAAACTTGTCTAAAAACAGGTGAGTGTTTTTCCTCTTTAACATACATGACCATTTCTTGTGTAGGTTGGAAATAGTTGGTTCATCCAAAGTTCACAAATTTGGTTATTTATGTTTTCTTTAATAGGATGCATGCTTGGATTAATATGTTCATTGAGCACTTTCTTTCAGCTCTCTTCCAAATGCTAATGGGGGAAAAATATGATTAGACACCTTAAAAGGATTAAAAACCTGCACAAAGTGAAACGTTTTGTAACTGGAGTACCTTGGTTTGTTGAACATATTAATTTATGAACAATGGACTATTGATGCATTTAAAATTGTACAAGTGCTATGCAAACTTGAACTTTCAACATTCGTTTAATTAGGAGTGAGTAGTTAGTGTAGGTGAGCATGTCCTTCTTGGAAGTCAGAAGGCCACTTTCTCTAGGATTGTATGTGTGCTCTGATCTGTCCATTAAAGGTGCAGAGCTGTACTCTGCAAATCCCATTTAGGATTAGGTCATTAGTGATGGGCATAACTAATCACTTCTGATGGGTCCAAATTAAATCTAGTAAAGGTTAGTTCTAAGGAGCTTTGAAAATGTTCGGAGGTTGGTAAGCATTTACTGCTATATTACATTATTTCAGCATCTCAAATGTGTGCCCAACTAGTCTAAAATATGTCTATAACTGTCCTTATAGGAGTTAACATTCTTTTTCTCTTAACAGGCAAGTTTAACCACTGTAATTGATTGACAATCTCATGCTTAAACATGGAGAACAATTAAAGATATGTTATTTCTTTTAATTCATTCCTCCCCATCCCAACATGAAGGGGACAATTAGAGGACAAACCAATGAATGTATGCAAGAGAATGCTGACACACATGGGGCAATGGTAACTGAAAAGGCACTGTATGAGCAGCATGCTGAGTCATCTTTATTTATTTTTACTAGAGGGTATCCCTACCAAAGGTGCTAACAGCAGAGTAATTGGAAGGGAGAGGTGCCAATAGTCAGCTGAAGATTAATCGAAACACAGGCTTTTTCTAAATCATATTTCAAATACTATGAAGACGTAGAAGTAGTAAGGCACATGTGCCATACTACTCGAGTAATTTCCCTGAAAACATTTGGTACCTGATACACAGCAGCTAACCTGTGGATAAAGAACGCATGCCAGTGCAATTGAGGATAATATTCAAGAACATTTACATTCATGTCACGCTATAGATTCTTAATAGCCTCCCATCCAAATATTGCTGCATATAGCATTTTGAAGAACTTATGGATCAACTTACTTTTAAAGGCTTGACATGGAGCATCCCAGCAATAAGGCAGCGGCTGAGAATGCATCACTTCTGATTACAGTGGCAGCCAGTCCATATTTATCTGCTTCTGTATCTTGTCCAGTATACTGAATAGGAACCTGCACTTCAGCATCTTAACTGGATGGTAATTGTTTTGTCTCTCCATAATGGTCTACAATAAAGAATGTGGAATCAGAATTTAATTGCTAATGGTGGTACTTAAGAGGTAGGAGGGAGCTGAACTTGTACTCTCATTTCTGTATGGGTAGTGCTTTCAAGTTTCAGGCTGTTACTGAATTGGTCAATAGATCTCTAAAAGAAAAGAAAATGTAAGTTCTTTGGTAAACGGATTGGATACTCCCTTGGGGGAAGGCAGTTGTGGGGACTATATCCCTAGCTTGCAGTTTCATGCAAACAGCTTTTGGTCTGTTACTTTCTCTGCTCTTCCATTCTCAATGAGTTGATAGTGAAGAATTGAAAGGCTAGATCGGTCAAAAACCCATACCCCAGGCTTCAGTTTTATAGGTGAGATATTACAGTAACTACACTAAGTCTCCTAGTCCAAGCCACCAAGAAAATGTATTGGGCAAGAAAATTGTAGTGTGCTAACTGAACTTTCCTCACAACTCAGAGATGTTTTCTTTGGGGTGGAAAGGCAACTGCTTTCAACTTGCCTCCAACCTGCTGCAATAACTGGCCTTATTCTTTATCCTGTTCAACAATCCCCAACATCCTGTTGCATCCCTGAGAAAATGGCATGCACTTCCGCATGTATAGTGATACTACGTAGTTTCATATCAGATGGCATTTTCTGAGAGCAACAACCAGAATAATTAAATCCAGGTACAGTAGAGGTAGTAATAAGGGGAAGGAGCTGTTTTCAGCAGCTAACTGTAACTGTCCTTTTGGCTGGTTTCTGCTCAGTTCAAGAGCCTTTTTGTTACCTGGTAGACAAGGTTCCTTGGGCGAATCTGATATCTTTTATTAGACCAACCCAAATAGCTGTAGCTTTCTACATCTACCCTTGCTTTCCAATACATACAACACTATACCCATCATCTCTTGCATTTAAAACTTCATGTGGGGTGGAAAGTGACTTGTGAAGTTTCAAGCAGAGCAACAAACAGCAGCTGTGGTGCTGGATAAGGAGTAGAGCACAAACCGGTGCCCTTTACAGTACTGCCTTTACCTAACCACATTTCTTTTAAAAGAAAAAATTCTGATCTGCCTTCCCCTGCCTTGTCCACTTTATTTAGCTGAACTGCTAGGTTTGACCACAGGGAGTATTATGTGCAAATGTTGAGATTTGTTCTGCCTCTGCTGCCTGGCTGTGGCTTTCCTTTCTACAGCCTTGCTAAGACCCCCCCCCTACTTCCCTCAGCACTGTAAAGACAGGCGTGCTGGACAGGCTGGGGTAGCGGAGCCCACAGGTATACAGCCACACGTGATCCTTTGTCAGTGAGCAGACACAGTTGCTCTAGCTTTTCCTAGTGTGGCACCTCCAGCCCCTGTCTTACTCTGGCAGTGATTTTTAACCGTTATTTCATCAGCAGACCCCTTTGGAAATTGAGGTGCAGCCCCCTTGGAAGTGTAATTTGGGTGCTCACCTACTTTTGATTGATCATGGACATCGTTCACAAACCCCGGGGGCGGGGCTGAGGACACAGGCTGAAAATCATGGCTCTGGGGTGCGGGGGCTGATCAGTGCACATGCCAGCTAGGCACATGCTTGGGGCCCTGAGTGAAGAAGGGGCCCAGCTGTGCTTATTTTACATAATTCTAATTATTGAGTGAAAAATGAGTGCTAGAAATACACAATCTGAAGTGGGTTTGTTTGCTTAGGGCTCACGAAAGGGGTGATCCAGCCTGGTTGGGGTGCTCTAGCCCCACAGGCAGCAAGAGTGGCTTTAAACCTTGGCTTCCTTTTGCTGCTCAGTCCCACTCTCCTGCCCTTTCTTGCCCAAACTTGCACTTTCTTCAGCTAAGCCCCGGGCTGAGCACCAAGCCGGGCCCTAGCAGATGTGCAGAGCGTTAAGCGGTTCGGGAGGAAGGATGCGAAGGATTAGGGCTGGCAGCTGCCGGGGCTGGGCTGAGCTTGGTGCTTAGACATGGGGGGTGGGGGGGAAGCAGATGTGTTTACGCCCTCCCCCAGGTCCCAGGCAAGGATCAGCAAGGACAGAGACGAGAGGAGAGGAGGGGCCCCGCACCCCCAAGCCCCGCCAGGGAGAGACACGTGCTCCCCCGCGCGGCGCCGGCCCTGCTCGGAGCCCCCGGGCCGGGCCGGGCCGGGCGCCCCCGCCGCCGCTTACCTGGCGGGCGGGATGGCCAAGCCGCGCGGGGCGCCGTACGAGTACACGGAGGCGGAGGACAAGAGCATCCGGCTCGGCTTGTTCCTCATCGTGTCGGGCGTCGTGGCGCTCTTCGTGCTGGGCTTCTGCTGGCTGAGCCCGGCGCTGCGCGAGCTGCAGGGGCAGACGGCGCGCTGCACTGTGCTGTCGGTGCAGCAGCCCGGCGAGCTCTTCGAGTGCACCTTCTCGTGCGGCGCCGCCTGCCGCGGCACCGCGCTCTACCCCTGCCTCCAGGTCTATGTCAGCCACTCCGCCTCGGCCGCCCGCGCCCTGCTGCACCACGACGAGCACCAGCTGCTCGCCAACCCCAAGGTGAGAGGCGCCCGAGGGCTCCCCTTCCCTTCCCTTTTCTTCCCCTGCCCGGCCCCGGGACCAAGACATCCCCCTCGCTCTGTGGAGCTTCCCTCACGCGGACCCCGGGGCTCCTCCCCGCCCCCCCGGGGTAGGGACCGGCTTTGGGGGGCTCCAGGGAGGGCAGGGACCTGCCTGCCCGCTCCTCTTGTGCAAGGAAAGGAGGCGAGGAGCAGCTCAGGCTTCAGCTCCAGCCCCTGGATTAAGGGAACCTGAAAAAGTCCTTCGTGAGTTTCCTCGCGGGGGGGTGAGCGTGCCAAGTGTCCAGGATTGCCCCGGGGAGGTCCCCAGGTATTGGATGTAAATCTCTGGGATTTGACTGCTGAGAGTCCAGTGCGAGGGCACGAGTTAAATTGTATGTTAAATGTTGAATCCGACTTGTTTTCTACAGTAGTCCAGTGAGTTTTTTGAAATGTGATAGTAATGTGCATTTGCCTTCCTGATGTGAAGTCTGCGCGCCATTGCCCGTCACTGATGTACACAAATGCATGGGCACACTCGCACTGTGGCGGGCACATTGGCGTCTCGGAAATCTCCCAGAATAGATTTAAACAGTTGGCAACCCTACTTGGGGTGGGGAGTGGGGGTTGCCTTTCCTTGCTGAGGGGGGAAGCTTTCATAGCATCTCTGTTGCCCGGTGGGGCTGGCTGTGCCCTCTTAACTCAGCTGGGAGCCTTGCAAATCCTAAGCAGCTTTTTTTGGACTGGCGCTTCATAATGCCAACAAAGACCTTTAAACATCAAGAGAAACAAGGAAACCTGAAAAAAAAAAAAATCCCATCCGCGAGCATGAGAACGGAACAGTTAGTTTTATTGCCTCTGTTGTTGGGCTGGTGTAGATGCCAGGTGCCAGGCTTTCCAGCGGTCCAGCTCCCTGAGGTGTGAGACTTCTCATTCCAGGTGAAGGGAGCACCGAGTGTAATGAAGGGCCGTGTCTGTATAGCCGGCTTGAACTGGGGACAAAATAGGGAGCAGGCGGCATTGGAAGAGTTGATGGAACTCAAGGTGGCGGAAATAAGTGGAGCCGGGGAATGAAGAGTTAATAAGAGGCAAAGCAAAGTGTGTCAAGGAGAGACCAAATGACCGAGGAGGTGAGGTGAGCCTTTCCTGGGGTGTCAGTCATGCTGTAGGGCTGGTGGTGCCCCCTTTTAAATTCATTGGGAGCCTCACAAAACCCAAGCAGCTTCTCTTTGGGGTGGCGTTTCACAGTGCTACCAAGGACATTTATACATCAACAGAAACAGTAATCCTGAAGGAAACCACCCTCTACCCCACCCCACCCCCAATCCCATCTGTGAGCATGAGAACAAAGCAGCTAGTTTCGTTGCCTCTTGCACTGGGCAGAGAGGTGAATTCTAGCCAGGCTTTCCGAGCTGTACTGGTCCAGCCCCTGGGGCATGAGACTGCTCATTCCAGGTGTAATGAAGGCTGTGTATGCATAGCCAGCTTGAACTGGGGGCAAAATAGGGAGCAAAGGGCACTGGAGAAGTTTTTGGGGCTCAAGGTGTGGGGAGCAGGGGGAGTTTGGGAAGGAAGAGTTAATAAGAGGCTAAGCGAAGTATGTCAAGGAGAGACTGAATGACACAGGGCTGTTAAGAAGTGGGGAAGGCACTTTTCCATTTAAGGAAAAAGTATATGTCACTGAACTGTTAACAAAGACTTTAGACTCCAGATCCTGTCATATCAACAAGAAATCCTGAAGAAAACAAAAATCACATCTGTGAGCATGAGAACAAAGCTAGTTTTATTGTTTCTTTTATGTTAGGGGTTTCTAATGCACAAAGCTGTGATGCTTTTGATAATGAACCTGTTTGCTCAAAGACTTACAAATGACAGTGACAGAATTTAAGCACAGCTTGGCTTCTTGAACAATAGCCATGGAATTAGATTATCTGGAGCCTAACCTGCCTCTACAGAAGCAGCCTATTTAGCATGTTCAGAGCTGTAACAGGTTTAAACATTCTGGAAATGCTTTTGACGGACTAAAGAGAAACTAACATTTTGCTTACAAAACCCGTTCGTTGTGATTATCTGACTCTTCTCACCAATAAGGCAGTTTCTGACAGCACTAGTGTAAAATGAGTAAGAAATAAGGCACAGGTGCTTGAAGAGATCCATAAGCATTATCACAGCCACATTACATGGCAGTATTCTGGGTGTTCTAGTTGCTAAGAATGGAGAATTGCTTAGCAAAAGTTACTGTTAAATTATGAAAACATGAGTAGAAGACAGATTTCTTCTGCAATTATGGCCTCTGATAGAAAAATTATCTAAAGCTGCAATTTTAATTTTTGAAGTGGATGCATACTATTAGTCAGCAAAAATGTGTGTTTTCTAATGCTTATTTTCAAATCAAGTGAATATGGTTAGTTGGGATAGGGGTAGAAGAGCTTTTAGAAGTTCTAAATGCTTTTTTTCCTGAATTCTTTCATCTTCCAAAGGGATTCCAAGGCTGTCAGTACAGCTGATGCTGGTCCAATAGGAAACTAATCAGCTACAGGGAAATTTAGTTAAAATATGGTTTGGTTTGTCTTTTTCATTTATTACTTAAACAGTGGCAGAATGTTTCTGACAAGCTTTGCTTATATATTCGTATAGACTTAAATTCTCAGGTCAAGTCTGAGGCAGTTATGCGTTTTAATCTTGGTTTATTATGCTGCATGACCAATTATTATTTATTGATTTTTTTTTTTTATTTTTTATTTATTTATTTTTTTGTACATCCCAAAGTGCAAGGTACTTTGCAGAACATTACTAACATTAGGCCCTTGCCTTAAAGAACTGAAGAGTCTTATTTAAGACAGTAGAAATGTATCTATAGGTTTTAATAGCATCCAGTGGACATGGTAACTTTTAAATACTCATTCTTCTGTGCTTGACTCCTAAATAGTGCAGCATCCCGAAATTTTAAATTGAAGCATAATGAATGAGGTATATTTGATTTAGCAGGTGATTCTTTCAGCAATCTAAATTGGTAAGATACTGTGTTTAGTTCAAAACAGGTAAGGAAGTTTGTCTGAATGGTGACTTTTATTTGAGCTGTAATTCATTAATTTATCTTTGCTTTTCTGTCTGTCTTCCTTTGTCTTTTAATGTGTGTTGCTCTTGGATGTATTGGTCAACTTCCCAGCACTTTGATTGGCTGGAAGAAAAGTTATTAACTATAATATCTTCACAAAAGAGGAAAAAATGTCTGAAAAATGTAAGTTATTTGGGTTTTTTTTTGCTGGAAGAATGGAAAGTTAATGTAGAAAAAAATATTGGGACTTCAGTTCAAGAAGTGTCAGTTGTAGGAACATGTTTGATCTGTTTGAACTACTTCAGTGAATCAAGAGCTGTGAGTTCTGATCTTTGATCTATTGGTGATTTGCTTTGTTTCTTTGGGAGGGCATGTACCTTCCTAGCCTCTCCTCATTTAATAAATGGGAACAACAATATTTGTAAGTACTTTCTTATTACCATGGGTCTGTTTCTGCATCTGTTGATGTTAGCGGTGAAGTTCCCACAGATTTTAGTGGAGCAGAATCAGACTATTTAGAAATATGTTAGCCCAAAACCTTCTTACAAACCCATTAAGCAGGGTTACAGCCCCGCTGGCTTTCCGCTGAGACACTTGTAAGTGTTGCTGCAGAGCAACTCTTAGTAGACAAGGAACAAAAAGATGCCCAGTGTGCACACAAGCTCTCTTGGTATTATTGTCAACGATGATGGGGGGGGCAGCAAAATTTAGGAGCAAAAGGATAACCCAGGAAAGGCCCTCACTTGTCCCATATTACAGAACACTGACTTTCCTTAAATGCCTAGAGATAACAGCATTTTCCAAACACTTTACTGGAGGTGCTTTCTCAATGTTGCCTGTTCAGTACCTGCCAAACAGGATGAAGCAATAAGCCATGCAGCAGGCAAAAGTTGTTTTCATATATTGCTGCAGCTGAGAACCGCCGAAATACTCAGATCAAAGCTACCCCTATAATGGCTACAGGATATTCTCTGTGAGGGATTCTTGTTTTCACATTCTTCACCTTTCACTCTTCCCACACTCTCCCACTCAATCAGAGCCAAGGTTTGCCCATTATCTCTTCTCTAAGGCCTTTGAAGATTGGGTGTGCTGAGGTGGATATATTTATGGCAGGGTTGATCTTTAATTATAGGAAAGGCACCCAGTACACTATTTGGACTGTATTTAGACACCTGAAAAAAAATGTCTATATATTGGCATGGCATTGTTCCATGTTTATATTGATATTATAATCAGTTTTCTACATCTTTAGCCTCCTTGATTCCCTACTGTAGCATATTGATTGTTGATTATAGATGTTACTGAATGAAACCAAGTAGAAAGGGTGTATTTGTTGATGTAAGTAAATTCTCTGGTAGTAATTTATTAAACTGAGTAGAAAAAGAACTCGAAAAGAATTGCACTTTACTTATTTTACTTTAAACACTCAGGTAAAAAAATTGAGTTCTTGTTGCCAAAACAGCTTCTTTTTAAAAGCAGTGAAATGCATACAATTGATAGGTCTCTGCAGATTTTTTTTTTTAAGTTTAATGCCTGTGCCTGAAGGCAGTAGTGTTCTCCTTTATATTTTTGTCATAAAGTCTGATACGCTTCAAAAAGCTTTTCCAAACATGCTGATAAAGGATAGCAATAATAACCGACTATAAATCTGGTTTAGTTTAATTACTTTGATTACTTATGAATGAATGAATGACTAGAAAGAATTTTGTTAACCTCTCATGTCTAATACATGGCTTTCAGTATTTTGTCTCCTTACATCAATGCAAATAGATAGTACCTTGCTCATCTGTGGATACTCTAATTGACCATACTAAGTCCTGAACAGTTTGTTTTTAATGATCTTAAAGTTTACATTCTGTATAAACTCTATTTTTCTATTCTCATCTTATTCATACACCAGAGTATCTATCTGTACTTTCTGATCAATCAGTAGTGTGAAAGTG